GACCAGAATTTGCTACCGGGACTCCCGATTTCTATATTAGACTGGCTATGAAGTGCATGGATTCAAATCCACAAGAAAGCCTAACTGCTAAAGATGTTTTTTTAAAAATTCAAAAGTGGCACTCCGTTATAAAATCGGAAAACTTAATGAAAGTTGATGAAATTGATAAAGGTAACGATAGCAAAGATAAAAAAGATGATAAGGTTAATAAAATCGATAAAGTTGAAATTGATGGTGATGTTTATGGGGACGATTATAGTGATCATGAAAAAGAATATGGTGATATTGATGAAGCTGTTGGAGGTAAAGATGATCAAAATGATGATATTTATGATGAAAATCCTAGTGATCATGAGGAATATAGCGATTATGAGAAAGAATATAATGACTATGATAAAAAATGTAGTGATTATAATGAAAATCATAGGGATTATGAGGAAAAATATGATCATGAGGAAAAATACAATGATGATGTTAATGAAGTTCATAATGATCATGAGGAAGGATACAATGATGATATTAATGCAGTTCATAATGATCATGAGGAAGAAAACAATGATGATGTTAATGAAGTTCATAATGATCATGAGGAAGAAAACAATGATGATGTTAGTGAAGTTCATAATGATCATGAGGAAGAATTTCGATATGATAGTCTTGTTCTTGGTTTTTTGAATCGTTATGTTGACTACGTTTCTGAAATTGACATTAAAAATAAATTTATGGAAGCTGACAGAATCATAAAAACATCGGCAACCGTTACAACCATTACGTCACAACATGAAGATTTAATGTATACTAGAAACATAAATACAGATGATGTAATGGATGCCATTAATAACTAGTAATCTATATATTAAAATCACCATGCATAACAACCAGCCTTTTTAAACCAAATTTATAATTTTATTGAGAAGAGTTAATCTGGAAGTCACTTTGTGCATTATATTACGAAAAATATGAAGGATTTATTTATTTTTATTTTTACCAATTACCTACAAATTATCTTATTATAATACAAATTCATCCATCAGCACAAGCAATGGTTTTACACTCGTATTTATTTATGGCGGTTTTATGTTTGGTTTTATTTAAATACTA